AGGCATATAGGACTGCAACTAGCCTTGATCAAAAAAAAACTACACATAGGCATATAATAGTTAAGATTTCAGAAACTCAACAGAAGAACAAGATTCCACAAGCAGTTAGAGAAAAGAAACAAATCACACAGAGGAAAGCCCGTCAGAATCACAACAGACTTCTCAATGGAAGCCCTCAAGGCAAGAAGAGCTTGGAGTGACATATTTCAAGCCCTAAAGGAAAACAGCCTCCAACCCAGATTGATGTACCCTGCAAAACTGATGGAGAAATAAAAGATACTTTCATGACAAAGAGCACCTTAAGAACTTCATGAATACCAAACCCTCACTCCAAAACTTTTTAGACAATATCCTAGAAAAAGACGAGGATCACAACCCCAGGAAGTCCAGCAGAATGAATCCATCTAGTACAACAAGAAACTAAACACAGGGCCGGGGATTTAGCTCAGTGGCACTGCATCTGCCATGCAAGGGCAAGGACCTGAGTTTGACACCCGGTACCAAAAAAACAAAACCAAACACAAAAAAACAAACTAAACACAAAGGGGGAGAATCCAACAAAAAGAAAAAGTCATGACAATGATAAGTCAATACTCACCAGTTATAACCATCAATGTTAATGGTCTCAATTGATCAATCACAAGAAACAGTCTGGCAGAATCGGTCAAGAAGCAAGATGCAACAAAATGCTGCATACAAGAAACACACTTAATTCAAAAAAAACTGATAAAGGCTGGGGATTTAGCTCAGCGGTTCCACCGCCTGCCTCATAAGCGCAAGGATCTGAGTTCAATCCGCGGTACCAAAAAAAATACAAAAAGAAACTGATAGATTGAAAGTTAAAGGGTGGAAAACAATGCTCCACGTGACACGAATCCAAAAAAAAAAAAAAAAAGCAGGAGTAGCTATTCTCCTTTGAAATCAAGTGGATTTCAAACCAACACTGATTAAGAGAGACAAAGAAGGACACTACACATCCTTGAAAAGGGAACAATCCAAGAGGAAGAGATGACAATCATAAATATATATGCACCAAACACTAGTGCACCCAACTATATAAAACAAATACTAACGGACATGAAAAATCAAATAAGCATTATTACAATAGTAGTGGAGGACCTCAATACCCCACTGTCACAGATCAACTAGAAAAAAATAAGCAACAAAATATTAGAACTTAACAGATGTTCACAGAGTGTTCCATCCCACAAAATCAGAATATACATCCTTTTCAGCTGCACACAAGCTGTTCTCCAAAACAGACCACATACTTGCTCAAAGAACATGTTTAAGTAAGTGCAAAGGAACTGAAGTTATCCCCTGTGTATTATCAGACCACAGTGCGATGAAATTGGAGATACATAGCAAAAGAAACCACAACTTCATAAACACATGGACATTGAACAATACGCTTCTGAATAATCAATGGGTCACAGAGGAAATTAAAGAAGAAATCAGACAGTTCCTACAATTAAATGACAACAATACAACATATCGGAATCTATGGAACACAATGAAAGCAGTCTAATGAGAGGAATTCACAGCAGTGAATGCTCATACTGGAAAACAGAGCAAGCCCAATTAAACAACCTGATGCTGAACCTTAAGCTTCTAGAAAAAGAAGAGCAGGACAAACCGAAAGCTCATACAAGGGAGGAAATTACAAAGATCAGAGCAGAAATCAATGCAATGGAGACTAAGAGAACGATACAAAAAAATCAATGAAGCCAAGAGTT